ACACACACACACACACACACACACACACACACACGCACGCACGCAGACGCAAAACACACACAACACGCGCGCGCACACACACACACATATGCACAGACAGACACACAGAGGCGGAAGGAGGAGAGGAGAGAGGAGTAGTTGCGACGGCTTGCCTCTCAGTTCTTCAGCTCTGGACGTTAAGACAGAAGAGAGAGACAGAGAGAGAGAGAAACGCAGACGCAAGCGGAGACGAGTGAAGAAGCAGAGAAGGAGAGAAAGAGAGGGAGATCTAGACAGCAAAGAGGGAGTAGGATAAAAAACACAAAGAGAAACACAGAGCTAGAGAGAGAGAGAGAGAGAGAGAGAAAGACGTACCTGTCAAACGGAACTGGACTAGAGAGCGAATCACTCCGAAGATCTCGATGGAGAGCACAGTCTGCAGCTTGCCGTTATCATCTGGCCTGATCAGCTCAAGAATCTTCCCCCTGGAGATCACAATTTCCTGCGCCTTCGTCCCACTGAAATTGCCGTAAATGGCGGCGGTAATGCCAGTAGTTCGCTGCAGAGTCAAATGATAGAGATACATCTTGATCCAACCACAGAAAAAACAAATCTGACGGCCAATATGAGCAAAGCAACAGAAAAAAAAAAAAAAAACGTACTAACGTACTTCTGCCCGCCAGCCTAATCACTCAATCGATCAACTAATTAATCCATCTAGATCGACTAATTAGTCAATCAATCAACCCATCAATCACCATCCGGATCGGCCGATCAATCTCAACGCCGAAACAGGGTAACGAAACATAGGAGCAACCTGTTAAGATGGGTCGATCTAATCCTCTCCCCTCCCATGCCCCTGTTCCCCCCCCTTTCCCTTCCTTCTTCCCCCCTTTTCCCCCTTCCCCCCCAACCCCCCCCTAAGGTCTCAACCTTACAGATTGATCGATGTCACTCCATCAATCAACCGGATTGCCAATCAATTGATAGATCAATCAATCAATCAAGGAGACGATTCCCGAGCGGCGATTCCTACCACCACGAATAAACCTACATGCCGTGTCTGGTTGACGTACGTAGTCGACGATGAGGACAGGGAGATGCCGAGACAGGAGTACGGGGTACGGGCATCACCACACAGGTCTCGAAATGTGCAAAATGAGAAGGAACTTGCCGCTAAAACATGGCCAGATTCGCCCGCCACATTTTCGTTTTTTTCACATTTCCAGAGTGGTGTGGTGAGGGCCTACGGGTAACTATCAGTTGAGGGATGGCTGATCTGGGATTTCTTGAGTAAGCCGCACAGCAGCGGCAACACGCTGAAACGGCGCCGCACACCTGGTAACGGTCGGCCGGCCGCCGGTCTTCCAGAACGGCAAACCGAGCGCGATGAGCGACAACCTCTGGTGTGCTCTTCGCCCGCACGCACGCTATGGTATGTCCCCCGCTTGAAAACCGGCCTCCCTGTTTCCTCACCAACAAGGGTCGCCGGTCAGGCCAGTAGCCTGTTAGCCCATATTTGCGGATTACCCGACCAAGGTAGCCAGCCCAATAGCCTAAATTCGCGGATTGCCCGACCAAGGTAGCCAGCCCAATAGCCTAATTCCGGATTGCCCGACCAAGGTAGCCAGCCCAATAGCCTATTTGTGGATTGCCCGACCAAGGTAGCCTATAGTGAATGGCTTTGGATATCTGAACCTCGGGTAGCCCATATTTGTGGATAGCCCGACCAAGATAGCCAGCCCAATAGCCTAATTGTGGATTGCCCGACCAAGGTAGCCAGCCCAATAGCCTAATTGTGGATTGCCCGACCAAGGTAGCCAGCCCAAT